TGCTCTGCAGCATTTGCAGTTTGCTCATATGGTAAGTGTGCATTGGACACTGCACCGTCACTTTCATTGTTGCTGCGCTCTGATGTCTCTGCTGCACCATTCTGATGGTACTGTTTGTGACATTGGCACTTTTCTTGCAAATGATCTACTGATCGGCAGCTACGGCATTCCCGACGTACGTTGTACTGGGTTTTCTTTTCCGCTTTCCTCTTGTACCGTCTCTGCAAATGTTCTTTGAACCCTGGGTTTTTCTCACACCATTGCTTTCTACCATGCTCTGTTTTACAATATGGGCATGTAATCACTGGACCCGAATCTCTGTAGGGTCTATGACTTCTATAACTCTTGTAAGAATTCCTAAGTGGTTCGTACTGGTACTGTCTGTTTCTCATCTGAGATTGCACAGCCGCCCCATAGTTTATATCTGGGCCTTTACCAAAACTGAAAACATTTTTATGAGCATTAAAATAAGCCTTTCCTGATCTTTCCATCTCTTTGACAGTAGATGGTCTTTGTTCGATCAAGAATGTCATCATGCTGGTTGGTACACTGCATAAAACTTTGTCCCTTATTAAAAGGTCTTTTAGTAAGTCAAAAGACTTTCCAATTTTGGCGGAACTTATCCACTTATGAAAAGTGGTTTCAACTTCGGATAAGTAATCAATGAAGTTCTGCTCAGGTTTTGGTGACAAGTTTTTGAATGCATTTCTATAAGATTCTTCATCTAAAGAAAAGTGTTGTAATATTCTATCTTTAACGAAGTCATAGTCATCTAGTTTTTCAACAGGGATGGTTTCTAAAACTTTCAGTGGTTCACCCCCTAGATGCTTTCTGTACATGAGTGACCATTCTGTACGTGGGACTTCAAAATGTTTAATCATGTACTCAAAGTTTTGAGTCCACGCAGAATCACCTTGAGTGAAAAATTTAATGAGACCTTGGTATTTCTTAAATAATGGTTCTGCTGCCTTCAATTCAGTCTTTCTAATCTTTATTTCGACCTTTCTGTCGGCTTCCAGTTCTTTGGCCCTCAGTTCCATTGTTAGCTTTTCTTTCTGCAGCTCAGCATTATTAATTATTTCTTTTTCCTTAATAAGTAATTGGACCCTGTCCCGCTCGGCTAGTGCTGCTAATTCTAATTCCTTCTGCTTTAAGGTTGTTTGAGACATTGCTTCAATCTCTTTCTGTTTGGTCATCACTTGCGTCTCTACCTCTTTCTGTTTGGTCATCGCTTGCGTCTCTACCTCTTTTTGTTTGGTCATCGCTTGAGTCTCTAACTCTTTTGCTTCAGCCTCTAATTCCAGCTTTCTTAATTGTCTCTCATCTGCACGATCCTGCCTTTCTTGCAGATCAGCGTATTTCTTGTCAGCCCATTCAAGAGCTTTCTCACCTGACAGCCCATTCTGTCTGGCCAACTCAATGAACTCAGCTAAGCTAGACATCATGCAATGTTATGAGTGTTACCACAAAACAGTGAACTATCTTTCAAACAAATAACACGCACACTACAACAATAAAGAAGAAAAAAAAAATTTTAAAAATTACAATAACAAGAATGTATAATAATATACAATAATTATACAATTTAAATTTCCAAATGGTATACTGGCAGTTTGCAAAAACAATTTGGATTGTAATGACAGTAAGTGTCGGACAAGGATTCCGAAATCTACTTCTTAACAATAGTTCACAAATGACATGATGATGAATGCACTCAAAAAAAAAATATTTATATACAAATATTATCAATGATGAAAGAGGATAGACTAGAATGATAGACAATGTACGGCACCGCTGTTCCAAAGACGACCCCGTGGAACACCACGGGCAAGAGAACAAGACCACAGCACAACACCACAATCAAAACACAACTTATCTGTTCTCCAGCCTGGGATCCATGATGCCTCTTGACACAATAAGATGAACAGGATTACAATGATGATGCCGAGGACGAAGGGCCTCAGTTGGAGCTTGTACTTTCTTCAGTCACCAACTCAGCATGTGGCACACACACAATTACACAAAACTACTTGCATACATTGTCATTGTCGGTTATCCTACTCGTGAAGGCGCCTTATGTTCCTAACACAATCAGTTATTAATGCTAAGGACAATAAGTTAATACAATAACAGCACAATGTAACATACGATCACAAACTAGCCTCAATAATTATACAAATTAACTCTCGATCTAACTATCTCCTATTAAAAAATGATTTCGATCACGTTGTCACTAATTAGGGAGCCATCCTAATGACGTCATCATACATTAAGAAATCAATTCAATAGTTAAATCTAATTTTTAAGAGAACGATAACCTATATAATCTAGCACTAACTTTGCGAAGAGGCGAAAATAAATGCAACAAAACAGGCAGCAGCTATAAATTTAAATAAATTGTCAGTATCTATTATCTGTCGCTATCCCAGATACAAATCCTAAGGACGAAAGCCTCCCATTATCTGTCAGGGACCTACTTTACTCTGTATATTTAATATGGCTCGCTAGGTAGGCCAGCTAACAGACTTAACTACCTAGACACACTTAAGGCATACTCCTGCTGAGTACAAACATAATCTTTAATGTACAATGAACAAATAGACTTTAAACACTTCAACTGAGCAAGGCAGTTCCTATCCGAAACCCCTGGCGAAGAGCAGCTTTACAATCACTGGTCAACCCACGCAGGTTTCCATGGATCTATAATGAACACGACTCCTAGCTGACAGTTTCTCAGTGCTAATTAAGCCGCCGTCTATTGCCACACGGGATTCAGCGATACACGTAAGGTGTATGGCCTAAGCGTGACTGGGCAGTGTTATCACCATTACAATGCGCGTCACAACTTTATTAACTGCTCACACAAATACTGCATGGAGTGTCTACTACACAAAGAACATTAACTCTAAACTGTCTAGTCGAAACATTAAATAGAAACACAGCCTATCATAGATACTACACACAAAGATCCTATTTCAACTAACCGTCATTAAACCTAATTTTACCTAGTCAAAGCGTTTCGTCTTGTTGTCTCGTCCCGTCTCAGTACATGACTCCCCCTGAACTAGCTCGGACAAAGCTTTTTGTTTCCGGCCCGAGTTCACAGCTCAACACGCAGTAATCCGTGTCACCTGTGTGAACTAGGCTTTTTCTGTTAACTGGACCCAGTTTATTCCGTGGTCAAGCTGTCCGCTCTCATACTGAGTTGTACTGAAGGTCAACTCGTTCATACGTGATGATTCACTATCATCAGAGTTGTCCTGCCCTTTGACATTCACACACACACACAAAAAAAAGAAACGCATAGTTACTGAAAGGAACAAACATACACAATTTTGACATTCTGCATCTTTGTAATGCAGTAAGTAAAATTACTCAAATTTCACACAAGCATACATTAGAGTTCCACCAATCAAATGACACCTTTTTTGGCATCTGGGTCATGATAGTTTTTAATTGTAGGCCTTCCCATTAGTATGGTGTGTGGCCTCCTCTTGCGTGGATCATTGACTGGCATCTTCTGGGCATGGATGCGATCAGATGTCTGAAACGGTCCTTTGGTGATGGCTGCCCACTCCTCCTAGAGTGCCTGGAACAGATCACGACCATTGGCTGGAGCAACGTTTCGGCAACAAACACGTCTTTGCAGCTCATCCAACAGGTGCTAAATTGGACTCATGTCTGCAGATAGGGATGGCCAGGGAAGGGTTTGAATGTTATTGGTAGTCAGGAACTGCGTGGTCAGCTGTGCAGAATGGGGTCTGGTGTTGTCCTGTGAAAAGATATCAGTTGGCATCCCAAAATGGAAGGGCATGTGGTCGAAAAATTTCATGGACGTAACGTTATGCATTCAAGCTTAGTTCAGTGTGCACCAATTGACTTCTTCCGTTGTTACTGATCATTCCCCATACCATTACACCCCCACCACCAGGCAGCAGAGCTTTATCAACACAATTTAGGGCTTAACCTTCATTTCGGCTATGGTGGACCCTACGCCGTCTATCATGACGCTGTAACAAAAAGAAAGATTTGTCACTGAACAAGACACATCTCCACTGATTGTCACTTGCCCACTTGTCACTTGGTTGGCACAAAAAAGTCGATTTTGGTGGTGGCGACGCGTAAGGACAGGTCCTCGGTGTGGTCGTCAACCCCAAAGTCCAACATCATGCAGTCTGTTCTAAACAGTTTGATCAGACACATGACGTCTTGGAGGCAATGCCTGTGCAGTTGAGGAAGTTGTTGTAAACCTGTCTCTAAGCTTACGAAGCTGAATAAAGTGATTCTCCACTGCTGTTATCACTCTAGGTCGTCCAGTGCGATGTCGGTCTTCAACTAAACCAGTGGCTTGGAACTGGTGCCAAAGTCGACTGATGGTACTCTGATGCACGTTTAGATGCCTGGCAACCTGACTATATCTTTCCCCTGCCTGCAATTGGCCAATAGCAATATTCCTTAAATTTATCACTAGAGGCACCATTTGTGACTGCTTGAATATGAACTGATCCCTTTGGTGTAGCGTTATCCTTTTATATGGTTTCAATTGCGTAGGCGGTGAATAGTGTTCACCTCAAATTGTGTTGTCCTCTCGTGCACGCATAGTGAGTTATGCTCACAAATATGGTCCTAAACACATTTGACCACTGCGTTGTAACGATTACAAAAACCCGTGCAATTCATTCCCACATGTCCACTGGACACGGTAAACAACATTTGAGTCTGTCTGCTTTTCACATACCCGAGTATGATATTTTATTTACAAACTAATAAAAACGCGCCATCGGATAACAATGCGTTTCTTTTTTTGAACGGTATATTTCAACTCCCACTTATTCTGTATGTCATTACTCATTGTAGTATACTGTCTGTTGGCGGATGAGTTATATGTACCATTTCATACAATACATGTGAAAGTGGATATTCAGTAGAACATGGCTTATTGTTTTTTAGTTAGTTGAAAGTAATAATATTTGATAATATAATATGTTGTTTCCTTGCAGCGATGGCTAGACCCCTTGAAGACAATAAAGAAACAGTGCCGGGGTAAGTTTGTTCAGCTAATACTTTTATATATACCTGTAGGCATTGTGTGAGTGGTCCTATTTGTACTCCTGCATTTAAATAAATAAGTCCCGCCTGAATGACGAGGAGAATGTCCCTGCCAGGAGTTGAAAGGGGATCTGGCAGGCGCTCGACACTCGGGGAAAGGCGAGGCGGATATACAATCGGACCGTTACTGGTACCATCAGAATTTTAACTTTTTGCTTGCTGCTGAAGATTGGGACGGCACACTTATGGGGGTGTCCCAAGTGCTGTGATGTCCATACTTTATTCAACATTCAATAAAAAAGTAAAGGACTCTTGTTATTCCTTGGGCATATCAGTTAGACCTATATTTGTATAGGCCAGTAGGCAGTCTGAGTTAGTGAGGCATAATGCACAGCCACTTTTACTTTCCACAAGATTACCTGGTATCACTGGAATAGAAATACTGACATCCTACAAAATCTGAGCATCAAGGTGGATTGGCTAGTAAACAGCATCTTCTCTCAGAAACTGAAATATTTTGGCCATATCAAGAACCACAGCGGATTGGTACAAATAATAGCAGAAGGCACGGTATCAGGAAAGAGGGGCAGGGGCTGACCAGCATCATGATGGGAACTCAATACAAGTGACGCCTTTGGTAGAAAAATGCACAAGGCCAGAGCTTATTTTTAGCTGGGTGCTCAGGTTATTTGTAAGTATCTTTGGCATGGTTTTCAAGTAATTTATCTTAAAACATGAATTTGCAAATATTTATTTGTTCATTTATTTCAGTAGTTTTTTATTAATTCATCGTGCTGCCTATTTGTGAGCTCAATGAATAGACTTGGTACGCTGTTGGAAACAAGGTAAACAGAGCAAGGCACTTGTGAATACATAATTCTGTTAGAAAGGGGCGTCTAGAAAAAGTGGTTAAGCCATTTGCCCCATACTCTAGGGGTTGTGGGTTTGAATGTGTCTCCTGTTCCTAAGTGCAGCTACTTCAGAGATTCCTGGGCTTCGTCATTGAGCGGTGAAGTTGTGCTGTATGTGATGTGTCACTGGGTGAGCAGCAGTCTGCAAAAATAAGCCTCAGAAAAATAAAGACTAAGCCATATAGGATAAAAGCTGGTGCAGTAAAGTTGACCCTGTTTCTCTAGATAGAGCATGGTGATATTGGTCTTCAGTTTGTTCCTTTTGTAGGTCCTCTTGATTAGTTCATTTCTGTGGTCTATAAAGGCATCTGCTGAAATAAAAAGTAGATCTCTCTCTCTCTCTTTCTCTCTCTCACTCTCTGTCATTCTCTCGCTCACACGCACATGAACACACAGGTAGATAGGTAGGTAGGTAGGTAGGCATATATATATATATATATATATATATATATATATATATATATATATATATATATATATATATATATATATATATATATATATATATATATATATATATATTTAGAGGGAGAGAGAGAGAGAGAGAGTCCCACACACAAAACTACTAGGAATTTATATATGTCATTGTTAGCAGACTCCACTACTATGCTTAGAACAAAGCTGCTTGTTACAAAAGTAGGAATCATAATGTTATTGAGCTCACTTTCTTTATGTTAGTGAATTACACTTGTACAGTTGTTTGTGTCTTCAGGGCCTGCATTTGAGTTCTACTTCCGAGTCAAATTTTATGTATCAGACCCAAGCAAGTTAGCAGAAGAGTATACCAGGTATGTTGTTGCAAATGTCTCACATGAGTCACATTCTAGCTGGCAAATTGTACCGGAGCACATTTTCTTATACTTTTTTAAAGAAGATTTGTGAGAAGGTCTTAGTGGCTCAGTGGTTAACTCTTTGGGTACCAAGAAATGCGTGTCACATCAAAATATAACTATTTTAGCTGCCCTCTAGTATTGAAAGAGTGAAGTCTTTCGTCTTATACTTTGAAGGTCATGGGATTGCTTTAAGAAGTGCATGGTTTGGTTTCAAGTACCTTTGTACAGAGATCTTTAGTGATCAGTGCTGGAACTGAAGATTGTGGTTGGTCTGACGCTGTCAGCAGTCAGGTTCTGCAGCTGTTCTATGAAGAGAGACTGAGTCATAAAAACCTGGTGAAGTCGATCCTCTCAACTTTAAACGGCAGCAACAGTTTTATAAAAATGTAAATCTACTCATAAAAAAAAAAAGGTTCAGCTATGTGTCCTTTACAGGACGTTGCAGAACCAACCCTAGCATGTTTTGGCTGTTGTAGTTTTGCTAGGCCAATTTTACTTTCAGTAGTTTGCTATTGCTTTCTGAAAGGTCAGCTCTTGGAACTACTGACGAAACCAACGCAAGACACAAACCGCCGGCAGCGGGGATTAAAGCTTGTTCGCAACACCTAAGCCACAGATGCCGACACTCATTTAAAAAAAAAAACAACTAAATAAAAATTAGTAAATTCTGCGTCTCTGCAGCGGACGTCGGCTGCAAATGTATCCACTGCTAACTAGGGGATTAGTACGTGGTGAGGCCTCAATCTGTTCCAGGGTATGGCTCTCATATCATTGAAAGCTATAAGAACAGTCTTAATCTACTCATGCAGTCTTTCTTTTAATTTTACCACTAGTGGATATACTTATATTTTCTCCCTTATGTGTGTATGTGAGAGTATGTATACCTGTGTGTATTTATGTATGTGATCAAAATGTGCACCTCTGTCTATGTACACCTGTGTGTGTGTGTGCACGCTTGTGAGTGTCTGCATGCTTGTGAGTGTCTGCGATTTGTGAATATTTGTGCACATATATTTGAACTTATGCAGTTGTATTTTGAATTTACATTTATACAATGAATTTTGATATATATACCTGATATATACTTGATATATAAAATGCAGCTTCCTTACATGAAAGATAAATGCTTGGACGGGCAGAATATAGGATAGACTGCATGCTCAATTTGTAACCGTTAGTTTGTTCATTTATTTGTTCTCCATTTGTCCCTTGTGATCACTATCTTGTTCTGGCAGTTTAGTTCCTTATGATTTCTTTCATCCTGTTTCCTAGCAAGGACTGTCATATATTGTTAATAGGTTTTCTCAAATGTTATGTGACCATCTTTAATGTACTGGTTTGTCTGGATTTTTTCACCGGGTAAGCTGATGTGTTGGGAAATGAACAGGCGGACAGACTAGCTGGCTCTGCACAACTTGGTGGAAGGCGGGCGTGGTTAGTGCCTTGTGGGAGAGCGTGTACAGTTTGGAGGAGCAGATGGATCACCACAGTCTGGTGAGATTGATGCAGGGGGGAGTTACAAAAGGTTCTGGCAGATGCTCAAGGCTCAGAGAAAAGACAAGACGGACATTTAATTAGAATGCTTCTGTCACCATTAGTATTGGAACTCTTTTCTGGCTGCTGAAGATGGGGACGGATCGCAAATGGGAATGCCCTGAATGCTGTGATGTTGATTCTTGAATCAAATCAAATCAATGTACAGGTTTGTTTCAAAGATGTTTCAGTGGTGTTTGCATTCAGTGCTCGTAAGAAGCAGAATTTTATTCTGCCCATCTCACTTTTGGGGTCAGCTCAGCCTTTTCTTTATTCTGTCTTTATTTCTTTCTGTTCACCGGCTGTGAATTCGGGTGGAAAGTCCTGGCTGTTTGTCCGTCTGGACCTGAGTTTTGCATGTACATCCATTTTAGTATCTTATTTGTGTGCAGTTCTTGTTCCCTGCCTCTCCCATCTCTAGGATGACTGTTGCCATTGTTTTGTGGGACATGAAGTTGCCTCATTTGTGTGGTGTCCTCTTTGTCCCTTTGTCTACAAATTTTGCCCCTGGAGAACCCCTTTAAGGCAACCTCGTGGAGACTGGTCAGCCTTCAAGGGAAGGCAGGGGCAGATCAAATAAGCTTCCATAAATGCAGAGCTGAAACATGATGCTCTGGTCCTGGGCTCACACAAGGAATTGTCACATCCTGCACATGACTGCTTAACCTTACAACCGTTGTTGAGCTTTGTTCTTTTCATGGGCTGTACCCTCCGGAAATCAATAGTGAGCAGCTCGCAGTTCCAGGACTTTGATGACCACACAGATAGGTAAATTCTTCTTCATCGACACCTTTAACATTGTTTCAACTGTGAAACATTGACTATGTTTTAAAAAAAAATTGTATTTCTGAACTTGTTTATTTTTCAGATATCATTTTTTTTTGCAAGTGAAGAGGGACATCTTATCAGGAAAATTAGTATGTTCAGAAGCTAATGCTGCTTTACTAGCTAGCTATGCCGTACAGTGTAAGTATTTTATACATTTGTTATGGTAATTACTGGGGCTGTACCAAAGTACTTGGGTGCAAACTTCAACTGCTCCAACATGCTGAGAGAAGTAATTCAATCTAAAAATAAAGTATACTATGCTCTTCAACATCGGCTAAAGTCAAAGTGTCTGTCTCGCAACATCAAGATCAAAATATATAAAACGTTGATGAGACCTGACGTTTAATATGGCTATGAAACTTGAAGCAGAAATAAAAGAGATGAGGCCTTATTACAGGTTTTCGAAAACAGTCTTACGACAAATCTTTGGACCCATCAAAGATGCTAACAGCGGGGAATGGAGAGTGAGAAGCAACAACGTAACACCTAATCTGTTTAAATCACCATTGATCTCTGGCATCATGAGAGCTAACAGACTAAAATGGTTGGGGCACATTGAAAGAATGTTAGATGACAGAGAAGTAAAACTGTATACAGAGAGGAATGGCCGTAGACCACGAGGCAGAAAAAAAAAGAAGTTCGATAGATAATATCCAGCCAGACCAGCAAACAATTGGTGTCACAAATTGTGAAGATAAGGCCAACCAGAAAGATAAATGGAGACGGGTGATATCTGCAGCAGTAAACCTCAAGGGCTCAGAATGCTAAAGAAGAATATGACTATTCTGTGCTAATTTATGTGGAGTAAAAGTTCGGCGAACATTTGTCATTATAAATGTTTTTTTTAAAAGATATATTTTATGCACTATACACTATTCGTATTCATATTCGGCCGAATAGTTGGTCCCGTTATTCGTATTCGGTTGAATAGTAAAAATCCCTAGTCGGTACAGTTAAACTCCTGGTTTATGTATTAAAAATTATTAAGATGTATGCTAATGAAGTGCATGTGTATTTTATACAGGGTTTTTAGTACTAATGCAAGCCTTATAACATACCTTTGAAGACAATTTTATGAGAAGAATTCAGAGCACAAAGCAACAGTGGAATTCATAATATGTGTAAATCACTACGAATTACTGACATCAGGAGGGCAAATAGGCAGCTGTGGTTGGGGCATATAGAGGGAATGGCAGGTAACAGAGACAAAACTGAGTACACAAAGTGTTGAAGGGGAGTAGATCACAAGGCAGACTAAGAAGACAGCCGAGAGGTAATGAACAGACAGATCTGCAAACACTTGGAGTCAACAACTGGCAAGTGTGGGCTAATCGGAGAGATGAATGGAGGAAGGTGGTATTTTCAGTTGGGCCCCTCAAAGCTTATAAGGGTGAAGCTCATGATTTTATGCAAAATGTAGTTGGCGATGGTAGTGGGAGAAATCTTAGTGATTAATTTGCTGTTATAATATTTACACTTATGCTTTTAAAATACGTTTGTGCACATACAGCTCTGCAGTTGTTTCTTCTGAGAAAACGAGGTTAGGCTTTATTAATTTTGCTTGCATTTGTGAGATACATAAACATAAAATTTTTGGTGGGTGACAGTTTGAGTTGGGTTGTTTGTTAATTGATAAGTGATGTCATTTAAAACTATTCCAGACAATTAATTGTTTGATATATTGTTTTGGGCCTCATTGTTTAAACAAAATATTGTTCTGTAATTACGAGTACCACATACAGTCTCTTGCATCCAGGACAAAAAAGTGTTATTTTGTATGTCCCATGGTTATGTTCTTGTAATCCGCATCATGTGTATGAGTTCTATTGAATCTACTCCACAGCCGAGTTAGGAGATTTCAACCCAGAAGAACACAGGGAAGGCTACCTCAATGGTTTTCTGTTTATTCCACATCAAAGTGTAGAATTTGAGAAGCTGGTGGCAGAAAAGCATAAACAGCACAGGTGAGGATGATTCTGCAGCAGCAGGATAGTTGTTCTTTGTTCTCATTCATCATCATTGTCGTCATCATCATAGTTCCATAACACCGTATGTTGTTGGGTCATTGTTGACTGTCTAACCAGTTCAGTCCGTGGTCAGATGAACTTGATGTTGAGTTGAGTTGAGTCAAGAATTGACATCACAGCACTCGGGGCATTCCTATGTGTGCTCCATTCTTATCTTCAGCAGCCAGCGCAGTTCCAATACTGATGGTACCGGTCACAATCTGGTTATGTGTCCGTCTTGCCTTTCCTGACGTGAACTTGATGTTTACATGTTTAAGGCCTGTTTATTTAGCACAATTCTGTATCCAGGTCTTTCTTGGCCCGCCTCTTACCCTCTTCCCTCCTACAGAGCCCTGTTGTATTATTTTTAAGAGGCTAGTAGATCTTTTTTTTGCTCTCTGTTGAAGAATTTCGGAACATTTTGGACTGTTCCTGAGCAGCTGTTGATAATATATTATTTTAATTTGGAACAAAATGTCAAGGCTGTGTATGGAGCTACTTTAGCATATTTGTTAGATCACCTGCTTACCAACAACAATGGTTTGGGCTTTTCTTCTTTTTGTTCTTAAAACGGTAGTTGGCAGATTATGTTGTGGGTTACAGCTAGGCTGTGATATCTGCACTTTTTGCCCCAACACATCAGATTAAAGCTATTTCTTAAGTTGTTGCCTTTTGCCTCATGTTTAACCCTTCTGCCCCAAGAAATCTTCTTAAAAGAAAAAAAAAAGTCTCAGATATTCCTTTGTAGACATTCTCTTGTGACATGCATTGTAGATTACAGTATCACTGTTCTTTACTTCTTTTATGTCCTGGCAATAAATGAGCCGTGAAATGTGTGCATACTAATAATTGACTCCACTAGAATAGTATATACAACAGTTGGCTTATTACCCTGAGAAGAAATCTGTCCTTTTAATATCCGTTTATCCTGTGAGTTCCAGTGCCCTATTTAAAAAAGGGTGTTGGGGGTGGTGGCTGGGGGTAGATGGGAATAAATCCACTTCTTTTTAACAAGCATGTCATAAAGGGTGACCAGTTAAAGATTTTTTGAAATCGTATGTGTTGGACCGAAAAACACAGATATCACAGCCTAGCTGTAAACCACAGCACAATGTGTCAACTTCCCTTTTAAGGGCAAAAGTAGAAGAAGAAAGAAAAGGACACATCTTGTGGTATTTTAGCATCTGGAAAACATAGAAGGACATTGATACAACTTGAGTAATAACTTCTATGTATCACTTTCCTGTTGCATTTAAGTCTGTGCTGTTCAGCATTTAGCGCCAGTTACAACAAATTATACCTTATATATTTCAGAGGCCAAACACCAGCAGATGCTGAATATAATTTTTTGGAACGAGCGAAGCGTCTAGAAATGTATGGAGTAGATTTACATAGTGCAAAGGTATGTGTTTTACCATTCTAAACACTCTTCTTCTTTTATTTTGCCAAGTGTTCCCCATTATAGCATAATCCCTCAGCTGACATCGCAGTTATCACAGCCTGGCTGTAAACCACGAAACAACATGTTAACCATCCTTTTAAAGATGAATGAAGAGGAAGAGTTATTGTTTCTCATTTTGAATTTATATTGCATAATGTGTTTAAAGTCATGTAACTAAAATCGTAACAAGAATTGTCATGATAAGAATAAGGTGCAAACTTAAACCAGAAGTTTGAGAAGAGCAGTGTGGTTTGCATGAAGGTAAAGGCACAAACAACACCATATTTATCTCGAGAACATTTGAAGAAAGAATGATTTGACATGAATGGAGACCTGTTTTTGTGCTTTATTGATTACACTAAAGCATTTGATAAAGTGAAACATGAAGAAATTATTAAAATATTGGAAACCTTAAACATTGATGGTAAAGATCTGAGAATAAAAAAAAAAAAGGCATATACTGGCAACATTTGATAACCAGATTGAAACTTTACAAAATATTAAACAAGGTCTTAGAGAGGGATGTGTACTATCCTGTTATTTATTCAGTGTGTACAGTGAGATAATAATTAGATCCATACATTGTATGCCAGGAATATTGGTAGCTGGCCATATTGTTAACAACCTGAGATATGCTGATGATATAGTTTTGATCACTGGAAAGGAAACACAACTCCAAGAAAAAAAAAGATATAACTGTAATAGAAATTGAAATCAAGTGTCTCTGTTTGAACAGCAGAAAAACAGAAGTAATGGTAACTACAAAGAAAACTGACCCTTTAAAGTGCAACATCAAAGTAAATGGGACAAACCTCAAACAATTTGATATCTTTATATACTTTGGTACCCTGATAACATCAGATGGAAGAAGTTTAAGGAAGAATATTATATGCAATTTTTCTTTGTCGATTGAAATTAGAATGAGAATTCTTAACAGCTAAATAAATAGCAGTCTACATTCTTTGATCATGTGTTGGGAAAGAAAAAACTCGATGACATCGTGAACACAAGATAAGCCGATTGTACGTCTCTTTTAAAAAACACCTTGGGATTTCAATGCTTTGCCTCCTGGGACTGGAAGAGTTCACTAACTGTAATATGCTTTCAATTGTAACCAGTTAAATACACATATACATGCACACCTATTTTTTGCTTTGGTGAGTTCACCTTATCCCAAGTTGGAGGTACAGTGCCTACTTCAGAATGTAAAGAGTTCTTGGTTCAAATTCATGTTTTATTTTCAGAATATTTTGTTTCTGAGAACGTGATGGTATCTTACTCTCCCCCATCTCCCATCTCTTGATAGAGGTTTGACTGCCCAGTTTAATGCTGTGTAAAACAGGTTCTCTATGAATGATGTGAACACTTATAAACCTCAGGTGTTGAAAATTATACAGATTAGGCTTATGGGTCCCTGCTGTGACAAAATTACAAAAAATGTGAAACCCTACCTACAAGAGAATATGCATAATATGAGTAGAATATGGCAGATAAACAGTTGAATAAATTAGCAATAAACATGCTAAAGTTGAATGTTTCAGGTGATTGGGTTGAGTATCATAGCTTCGTTGAAAAGTTGAAACCAGATAATCATAAATCTTTTCAAGCTGGATGGGAACTGATCTGTCCTGGTAGATGGGTATTCTTTCATCATGTGAAGAGAAGGAGGAAACTGGAGTACTTTATGACAGTGGGAAAAATGGAAGGAAAAGAGACATAGAGGAAGACCACGAGAGAATTGCTGGACAGTTTGGTTTCATGGCTTGGAAGAAATCTACTAGGATTGGTTGGCAGTACAGAAGACACCCATGCAACGTCACACAGCATAACAAAACAAAAAAAAAAGATTTATCTTATTGGCATGGCAAATGCTTAGCATCCTTTGCAGGATCATTTCCAAACCCATAATTTTCTTTAGTATCTGATCACTAACTTGAGACAGTATTGCAGTGTTCATAGTAAATTTTTGGAATTATGATGTGTTTTTGCTGGTTTCAGGATCAAAATAACATAGATATTCAACTAGGTGTGACATCTGCTGGACTCGTGGTATTTCAGAAAAACGTCAAGATAAACACATTCTCGTGGTAAGTTATTCTACAGTAGAGACTAACCTGACTGCAAAAACTCTTGTGACAGTTTTGATGCAGTTTGCACGGACTGCTGCAGATTGCTCTAACAGACTGTTCACTCCACCGACTGGAATGACATTTGTTAACATGCTACTGCACCTAAAAAGTTACTAAAAACCTATCTTTAGGAAATTATTGTGATGGTTTTTTCCTCACACATAGCTTATTTGTTGCAAATCCAAGAATTCGTTACATTCATTTTAGATAATACTCACAAAGTAGAATCTTAAAACACTATCAAAATAAAGAATTCTTTTTCATGCTTCAACTTAAAAATGTTAACAACTGTCTGTCTCATGGTTTTGATGATCAGATGACACCAAAAGGTAGAGATTTGTTAGTTGCCAAAAGGGAAAAAAAAAATACCAGCCTAGAATCACATTTCCTTAATTTCTTGGTAGCAATATGCCCTATATTGGGGGAGGGGGAGGGGGGGGGGGCTGTCTGAAAAATGTTTCTAAAATTGCTCAGAAGCACAGCAGATTTGTAAAAATTATGGTAAAGATAAGATGTTGAGATTATGAATATTTTAGATTAAGGAACATAAAAAAAATCAGAATCTTGATGTTTACATTTATGTCATTATCTAACTTGATTTTGTTTGCAGGGCAAAGATTGTGAAAATATCATTTAAAAGAAAGCAGTTTTTCATCCAGTTGAGAAGAGAGGTAATTAGCAAACTTGTGTTCTTCCTGTAAATATTATTCACTTTTTATCCCCCTAAGCAGTGCTACACTTTGCATTTGCTATATTCTTCCATCCATGCATGAATACTAGTTTTCTGTTATATTTGTATATTATATCAATAGCTTTGTTATTAATTGTTAAATTAGCTTTGACAGTTATTTTTTATTTTTTTTCCCCCAGGTGCTATGATTATTATGTATCTATTTTTTAAGTTTGTATTTGAATTTTTGTATTATCACTAAAACTCACAAATTAGACCAGGTGTTTAAAAAAAAAAAAAGCTAGCTGGAATGTACTTTTTTACTGCGTTTGTAATAATTTCTATGTTAAAATTTAAAAAATTATTATGAGGTGTTATATTCACAAGAATCTTTACACATTTTCTTTTCTTTGCTAACTTTACTTGATCAGCTAAAAAATGACAAGAATTTGATGCTATAATTATGTAGTGTAGTTTTATTATAGTTCCTCAATGATGCTTGTAATGAAGTCGGGCCCAGAAAGAGAGTGACTTTTCTTGTCATTCATGCCTTGTAGTGTCACAGGGCCTGTCCTATGTTGTGGGGGTGTCAGGCTTAGTGACCGGCCAGCAACGGTGATATATTTGACATTTTACTCATTGTTTTCAGCCGCTGTCGTTATCACATCTTCTATATTCCAAGATGCGAGTGCTTTTATAGTCCCAAAACATGTAGAACTAGCGCTTAACTCAACCTTTAAAAAAAAAAAGACATTTTACATTTTGTAGAAAGTGTAACTCTTTTCACACAGTTATAATAGTATCCTAAAACTAACAGCATTTGGTATAATGTGAAAGCCACTGTCATAAAGTCTTAAAACAGGCAGTATTTTCAAAAAATGGGGTAGCCACTGACATAATTCTGTTATAATTATAATGTTTCTAAAGAAACACTGATATTTGACACACATAACGTGGTAGTCAGAGCCCTGAGTTTTGTCATGTTATTATAATCATTGAAAATAAAAATTTGTGTCATTATTTGCATATTAATATTAGAAACACAGGATATAATTATTATATAACCTTACAAAAAGCCAGAAAAAATGTTGTGTGAACAATAGGGGCCATTATTCTTTGTAGTTGCCATGAGCCTACATAAAGACATTCTGACATTACGTAAAAATACCAAAAACCTGCATAAGTATCAGTTTTGATCAAACAAAAAATACCCATACAGCCATAAATGATTGAGGTTGTTGCGTATCCTTTACAGGACGTTGCAGAACCAACCCTAACAGCCCCTGGCTGTTGTGTGGTTTCTCTAGGCAAATTACGTCTAATAGTTGGCTATTGCTTTCTGGACGGTCGGCTTTCTTGATACCACTGTCGAAACCAACGCAAGGCGCATTGCCCGCAGCTGGGATCGAACCCGGCATCCCGGCATTACGAAGCGAAGTGTTCGCATCGACTTAGCCACAGAGCCGACCATAAATGATTATCAGTCGTTAAAAAAAAAGTACATTTGCACACACTTACACATATTTGACATTATGTAAAGGTTAGTGCCATACATCTTGTCTGTCACACATTACCATGGTATCAAAAGATATATATATTTCACAATTGTTTAATAGAAACTATGTGAGAATTCTTTTCCATGTAAAAACTTAGTAACTATTCAGGTTGTATAGTCACAAAGGATAGTTAAAACAAGTTTTGTTTTGGAAGTTTTCCTTCTGTTTTATTCTGGCTCTAGAAACCTACCTAAAATTAAAGATAGGAAATTAGGGAAATAACCACTCTGATACGTGCGGTCCTTCATTGTGACGTGCAGAGCTTCATGCTGATGTGTGTGGTATCAAGATGAAATAGGCCAAGTAGGGGTAAAACAGTAGTTACTTCAATGCTTTCAAAATGTAGAGCTCGAACGCTATGCGTTAAGTTCCAATGGTTGTATTGATATATACAATCAGCAATGATCAACACAAGAATATGTATGCAATCAATAATCAACTCGTTCAACCAAAGCTCACTCGTACCATGTATTGATATGTCCTCACGATAGGTCGCAGTCCGACCTTGAGATCATGACAATCATCTTGGTCCTCGGACAAGTCCGAATTAAGCAAGGAAAGTATACCGGCATACTGCCGAAAATGTAGTATTCACCAGCTTCCTGCTGAGGTCTTGGAGTCCCGGGGTAAAACGTCCTCAAGGATCCAACTTTATATAACGTTTGCTTCCGTGGGATCCCGGGGTAAAGCGTCCTCAAGGATTCCCACGTCCGTCTCCTTCGGACTATAAACATCAACCGCTTTGACAACAATATTATCATAACAACGTTACGTATTGTTTTGACGTCTTATTTGCTCACTCCGTACCGGTGCGTTCTGGTGCACATTCGCACGCGACACACTCATTTTATCCTGACATGGAAGCAGGAGATAACCACTCATTTTATCCTGACATGGAAGCTGGAGAAAACCACTCATCTTATTCTGACGTGGAAGCAGGAGATAACCACTAATTTTTTCCTGATGTGGAAGCAGGAGATAACCACTCATTTTATCCTGACATGGAAGCAGGAGATAACCACTCATTTTATCCTGACATGGAAGCAAAGCAGGAGATAACCACTCATTTTATCCTGACATGGAAGCAGGAGATAACTACTCATTTTATCCTGACATGGAAGCTGGAGATAACCACTCATTTTATCCTGACATGGAAGCTGGAGATAACCACTCATTTTATCCTGACATGGATGCAGGAGATAACCACTCATTTTATCCTGACATGGAAGCAGGAGATAACTACTCATTTTATCCTGACATGGAAGCAGGAGATAACCACTCATTTTATCCTGACATGGAAGCTTCCACTGTGATTTAAAAAAAAAAAAAACTTTGAGTGTCTCTGAGGATATCCAGATTATTGGTTTTTTCCTGTGTCAGTGACGATATTTCTCAATTGGCTATCCAAATTATTGTTTTGACCATGTGTCAGTGACGATATTTCTCAGTTGGCTATCCAAATTATTGTTTTGTCCATGTGTCAGTGACGATATTTCTCAGTTGGCTATCCAAATTATTGTTTTGACCATGTGTCAGTGACGATATTTCTCAGTTGGCTATCCAAATTATTGTTTTGTCCATGTGTTAATGACAGTGTTTCTCAACTGCATATCCTCTTTTACCACATGTTCACTGTTACTACCTATCCACTGTTACTGCATATCCTCTGTTACTGCATATCCTCTGTCACTGTATATCCTGTGTTACTGCGCATTTACTGCATATCCTCAAGGACAGGAAAGGCAAGCAGTTTGAATGCTGGGCTATCAATTTAGAGGCCCAAGTTCAGACCTTTGTTTAAGTGATGGATTTCTTCTGCCAGGGGAAACAAATTAAATTCCTAATGTGCACTAGCCTAAATCTTCAAACTCAAGAAACAGAGAGATTGGACTCCGCTCAGAATGGGTTAAAAAGTATAAGATAGACACTTAAAAAAAATGTGTATTAGTAAGTGGGATGAGATCAAGTGGCTTTCCATGACAGAGATGCAGAGTACATGCAGCTGTTCAGAAATATTGTCACAGGCACCAGGACATTATAGTGATTGTGATGACATCACATAGAGCCTCCAGGTTCAAAAATGGAGATCTAATCAGGATGAATTTGAAAATTTCGTGTGGTTTTTTTTCATGTAGGTTTCTTAGAGCCCTAAAGAGCCAGCAGAAAAGCTCTCATAACGTAAAAAAAAAATGTTTGTATAGGCCAACATAGTCTTAGCATTTTAGGTCGTTGTGAAAGTCAGTATAATAATTCTTGTCATGTAACTGTCATATAATTATCATGGTCTTACAGGTAGAAGATAGCATAGAGGATAGTGATGACAAGGGAGAGAAATCTGAAGTATTAACTATTGTAAAATTTGCCTGCGTTTGTTGCACAGCTTCGTAAACATTTCTTAAAATTTACATGTTTTGTAGCATCCTTTCCTTTCACCACGCAGTACGCAAATGCTGTTTTTGTTTGACTGTTTATTGGTGTCTGTTTCAGTCGATGTGTACTAGCAATGCTTATTTCTTTGATTGTTGTAAATAATCCATTGAACATCTTGAAATGTGAACTAATGAGGATTTTGAGCTATGCCTATAACAGTTGTCCCAATTGCAATTTTTCGTTATTTGAAGCCCCACCCTGGCTTTGGCCAGGGGCCCTGAATATAGCCGGGCCATAAATATGGCCTAATGACTGAAAGATGTTTCTGGGACCTCTCCACGGGTAATCTTCATCCACATAGTGACGCATTGTGTCACCGGGTGGTTATCACTCTGTGTAATGTCCTGGCGGGGTACAAGAGAGAGAGAGAGAGAGAGAGAGAGAGAGACTTTTAGCGGGTAATTATATATATATATATATATATATATATATATATATATATATATATATATATATATATATATATATATATATATATATATATATAAATAATAGATAGTTGAATATTTTTATTTCACCCAAGATATATGTTGTTGAGAACCACCAGTACAGTATGAATAGGTACATGCTTTCCACCAGTCTGGTTGGTTTCCAGAAGGGAAAAAAGTGGAAAGGGGGAGGGAAGGGGGTCTTGCCAACTCCTGCACATTAATGAAGTCACTCTGACCTCATTAGTTGGGTCTCAGAATGAAATCTTTGTGATTGATGGAAGATAATCGGTCACCACACCTCATGGTGTTATACTGACATATATATGCAGGAATGTCTGCTGCTACATATCTGTTGGGCAGATAATGTCATGAAATTCATCATCTGGTGCCTTTCTGATAGGCTTGTGAGGTCATAGTTCACCATCTAGCTTGACCACCAGAAGTAATTTTGGATCATGTCCAGATTTTGCCATGTGGCCAAGTCATCCAAGTATTTATTCCTTTGTTCCCCCCCCCCCCTGCTCTTTATCCAATCAAGATTACCAGGTGTCACTAAGTTTTCAAGTTTATTTATCCTAATTTATCTATCAACAGTCTTTAGTATCTACATTAACACTTCTTTTCTCACTCAAAATGACAAGGTTTTATTAGTGAGTATATTTTCCATCTTGAAAAAAAAAAAGCCATAGTTATTCCCGTTTTGATTTATGCTATAATCTTCCATTATATGTTATGTTTTTTGAATTACTTTTAACGTTAACTCTCAACCATATCTCTTATGTTGTCATAACATTTACCTATGAATAAGTTATAGTTTTTAGTCCACATTTATGGTGGTCTTCAGTTTTTTAGTCCACATTTATGGCGGTGTTCAGTTTTTAGTCCACATTTATGGTGGTCTTCAGTTTTTAGTCCACATTTATGGTGGTCTTCAGTTTTTAGTCCACATTTATGGTGGTATTCAGTTTTTAGTCTGAGCCACATGTATTACCCTTAATAAAATCTGTCTTTCTAATTGTTTATCATCCTGTAGTTCTGAATCCAAATCTGCCTTACTTGAAGATAGATATTAGAAACTGACCGCGTTTCATTTTTAGAAGATGTACGGACCACTTTATTTGTTGTCTCACCACAAATTCAGTGCAGGGGGCAGTACTTGTGGTTTTTCAGATCTCTTCTTTACTCTTCTTTCGGCATTTGAAGCCCTTGAGGTTCATTGCAGATCTCTCTGGAGGTATCATCCACCTGCAGTCCACTTTTTGATTAGCCTTCTCTTTCTAGTTGGTGAATCCAAGTGTTTATAGATTCACCGGTATATTCTCTCTACCCTGTTCTGCCCTGAAAAACTCATGATGAATGCAGTAAATACAACATGAAGATCGATGCAAACTAAACCAAAACAATGCTAGTTAGTAGAACCCCTAGCCCACTACACGTACAGCTGAATGGTTCTGGTCTGAATTAGGTTAGGGAGTTTAAATATCTAGGAAGTATGATCACGGAAGATGGTAGGATTGACAGAGAAATAGAAACCAGGTGTCAGAAAGCAAGTGCACTTATATACCAATTGTTATCATTATTAAGACATCCAAATATAACTTGAGTGCAAAGAGAAAGATTATAAACAGCATATTCATTCCAACATTAAGCTTTTAGTGCCTAACATGGACAGCCATTTAAAGTCCATGTAAGCAAAATCACCACCTGCGAAATAAGATGCCTGAGAAAAGCAGCTAACCTAACATCCGAGATCGAGTGAAAATGGCACTATCAAACAAATTGTGGGAACGACACCTTGTACTAGATTCATTGAGAAGCAGCAGATCAAGTGGTTTGGCCATCTCGTTAGAATGCAGTAAGAACAAATACCATCACAAGCACTACATCTCAGAAGATCAACTACAAGAGCAAGAGGATGGCCGTGGAAATTATGGATTGAAAACATTAAAGACACTCTACGCCAGGGCTTTTTAACTAAGTTTACTCAGGAGCCAAAATTGTGAAAGTTAGGGTCATAATGGGCCAGAGGCCTGAGTCCCAGCATAGACATATCATTGATACAGTACAACTGTCAATTATCCGCGGGCCACTTGCTAGGCCTCTGCAATCACATTTGAAAAGCCCTGCTCTACGCCTTCGCGGCATGACAATAGCAAGTGGCAGCCAACGTGCACTGGATCACAAATTATTCCTCCCTGTGGCGCTTAACGGCAGAAGTGGTTTTTGATGATGATCATGATGATTATCTCTCTACTGACTTCTTGGTCTGCTTTGTGGTCTACTCCTATTCAGCTCATGTGTACGCTGTTTTTTTCCTTCTAAGTCTCCTGTCTGCCTATTCTATCTAAATGCCCCAGTCATTGCAGCCCTCATTAGTAATTAGTAGTGATGTCTTCTTCTTCTTTCTTTGCGTTCACCAGCTGTAAACTCTGGCTTGTTCTGGTTGTTTAACCCCCTTTTGGACTGCAGTCCTATTCCAGAACCTGAGTGTTGCATTTGCATTTATTTTACAGATCTGACTAATTTATTTGCAGACTGCTGGTTCCTTGCTCCTCAGGCAGATGCACCCAGACTTTGAAGGAAGCTCCCAATTAGTTGAATCTTACAACATGCTTTTGGGTAGGCAGTGGGCCTATTCTCCCCCCCCCCCCTCCCAAATAGGGCCCCAGAACGTACACTGGAAAGTGGTGATGTAAACAGATGAGAAATATTGTTACTTCTCGCTTTCCATTCTCCACTGTTTGCATCTTTGATAGGTCCAAAGATTAGTCGTAAGACTGTTCTCCGAAATTTTTAATAACGCTTCTTATTTTGTATGTCCTTATTGTAGGATAGAACATTACCTGAATGCTGAAGCTACTAACTGAGATATATGCTCTGGAAATATTAATATAAACATTAACATAGAAAGCATGTTTATGAAAGCAGAGTAAAGGACCCTTACTTAAGGCTTTTGGACGTGTGGTGTTTAATATCATGCTGGCCACCTTTACTTCCCACAATATTTCCTGGTATGTATTTTATATGGGGTTGACTGTGACGCCCTAGTTGGTTTCAAAAAGTAAATCAGTTGTTTAATGCAAGTGTTCGTTATCTCTCTACTGACTTCTTAGTCTGCTTGACATGGGAACTAACACTACCCTTGACAGGGATTTAGACAGTTAGATCGGAGTATCTGTATCTTAGGAACCAACACATCTGATTTTAGCAGACCCTTAATTTACCACATTTTGTGTGATACTCCTGTGTTGCCTTCAAAGCTGAGATATGAGAAATGATAATGAATGCTCCTTATAAAAACAGTTGATAAACGTACCTTAAAATGGTTGCTACACTGGAGGCTTCAGTATGCATGTGAATGTCCATTATGTAGTGACGTCAGTTGTGATAACATAACATTCTGTGACACATGTGTTAAGTGTCGATCGGTCTGTTCTACCCCTCCCCAAGAGGCCCTGAACCCTCGTAGAAAAAGACCTGGGTATATCGTGCTTTACGTCGTACAACATTTCCTGGTACCTATGTCATGTTTGGTTAACTCTGAAGCTCAAGTCAGTATAAACTAGTTCCCACCCATGTTATGTTTGGTTGACTCTAAAGCTCAGGTCAGTATAAACTAGTTCCCACCAATGTTATGTTTGGTTGACTCTGAAGCTGAAGTCAGTATAAACTAGTTCCCACCCATGTTATGTTTGGTTAACTCTGAAGCTGAAGTCAGTATAAACTAGTTCCCACCCATGATATGTTTGGTTGACTCTGAAGCTCAAGTTAGTATAAACTAGTTCCCACTCATGTTATGTTTGGTTAACTCTGAAGCTGAAGTCAGTATAAACTAGTTCCCACCCATGTTATATTTTGTTGACTGAAGCTGAAGTCAGTATAAACTAGTTCCCACCCATGTTATGTTTGATTGACTCTGGAGCTCAAGTCAGTATAAACTAGTTCCCACCCATGTTAAATTTGGTTGAATCTGAAGCTGAAGTCAGTATAAACTAGTTCCCACCCATGTTATGTTTGATTGACTCTGAAGCTCAAGTCAGTATAAACTAGTTCCCACCCATGTTATATTTGGTTGAGTCTGAAGCTGAAGTCATTATAAACTAGTTCCCATCCTTAATGCATGGTCACTAGACGATCATGCAAGGGTGCTGGCCACTGTACTGCTACAGCTCTCTTATGTTGCATGTATTTAGTTTTCCAGCTGTTTTTTTCAAAATATTACAGTGTTAGTATAAGTTCATGGGGCCGGAGAGTTGGCTAGGGAAAAGGATACTGTCTAAGACCTTGTATCTATATTACCTAACTACAGCTCGTTGTACGGCCCTGTGACAGACTTACTATACTAGAACACACTCAAAACACACACCTATTGAGCACACACATCATCTTTAATGAACAAAGAACAGCACAACCTAAAGCAACCTCCACAGTTATGGACAGTCCCTTATCCGAAACTCCCGCAGTGGCAGCATTTATATT